TGGGGGGTCAGGTTCTGGGGGCTGTCGGGCACCGGGGGCTTAACAAGCCTGCAGCCTTATTATTTAAAAAACTACCGAGAACACCAACATAATAACCCCAGAAAGAGGCAACGTACTAAAGTGATGACCCACCTCAGCCCGGCCCTGCCCAAGGCCACAGACACACCCCCTCCCGGAGCCTGAGCCCAGCTTCCTAGCCTGGGGACTCCCAAAGTTACTACGAACTCTTCTGACATTCCCTTTTTTGTTTATGTTGGTTGGTTTGAATTTCTTATAGGAAGAACACACCATTTGTGTAATAAAAGATAATGAAATACATACTTGGGAGAAAAAAAGCACATTTACCTCTACACTAGAATTCCTAGGAATCTGGACAAGTGATATTTAAACATTGCTTAAAATAAATCTGTTCCTTTTCAGGATTTCTTTCTATCAAAGAGCATTATTTTTGTCTATTTACTATGTGGACTAAGATTTACGGAGACTTAAGTCTAAACTATATTTCACAGTAAAACCCCAGCAAACAATGAGACAACAGTTACCCCCTCACTCGCCGAGATGAACTGTAAAACATAAGAAGGGGGCAGGGGCAGGTGCACAGGGTGCAGCCCAGGCCTCTCACTGCAAACCCACCACCCAGCATTTACAAAACTCGGAGAGCAGCGGGGAGGAGGCCGCCCTGCACACACCTGCCTGCGTCCTGCGCTCTGGCCTGTCAGGTGGCTGCCCCTGCGCGTCCCGGCCCAGCAGGTTGTGGCAGCCAGCTGCCTGCCTCAGCCCGTCCCGCCGTGCCCTGTGGCCCCCCTTCTCGCGCTCCTTCCCCCGGCTGGGAGCCTTCTCAGCAGTGGCCTGCTCTCAGTGTCCCTCCTTGGGCTTCTCTCTGTCCCGGCTCCTGGTGTCCTTCCTCCTGTCCCGATGCCGGTCCTGGTCCTGGTCCTGAAGCCTGTGTGGCTTCTCCCTCTCAGCCGCCCTGTCTCTGCACCTGGCGTCCCGCTCTGGGTCCCTGCGTCTGTGCTCCCGGCATTCAGGGAGGTCCGTTTCCAGATCCTTCTGCGGCTGCTTCTCTCTGTGTTTCTTATCCTCCTTGGGACCAGCTGACTGTGCCGCCTGAACAAGAGATGGCAAGTTTCAGAAACAGAGTCAGACTCACTGAGGGGCCTTAAAGTGCAGGCTGAGGGCTTTCCATCCCAGCAGGACGGGCCTAGACCAACACTCTCGAACCCAAGAAGGGGTCAGACTTGGCGGCCCCACGACTGGTGACAGCACCCACCTAAGGGACACCCACGTGTGTTGGCAAATCGACCCTAAAGTACCACATGGAGCAGAAAGAAGAGAGAGGGTGTGGGCTGGGCAGTAAGTGTGACACTAACCACCCAGGGCCCACTCCACCAGCGTGGACCCTTGCTGTAAGCCCTCAGGAGGCCTGGATCACAACCTGGATGCCCCCCGTGTACACACATGCACAGTGACACACTGTCTCACACACGAGCCCTGAACCTCGACAGAAACCCGACTGAGCTGGTGGGGCGCTGGGCGGGGGGCGAAGGGACCCTATCCCAGGGCCATTCCAGGGCAATTAACCACGTGGCTTTATCTCTGTGTGAAAACTGCCCCAAACGAGTCACGTCACACGTGAGCAAAGTCGTGCAGCCCTGAGAACCAGGTAAAACTGCCCCAGGTAACCATCCAAGGTCCATGTCTTTCTTCCCAAATCTTTAAAGTATGTTACCCAAAGGTATTTTCTGAGGTCATCTGCTTTCCAAGTATCGTCTTTGGTTCTTCTCTGAAACAAAAAGCATAAAGTCAGAATCATTAAAGTTTAAAAGATCGAATTTTGTTGCTCCAGGGAGCTTTGTCACTTCCAGTCAGTGGCAATCAGCCCTTCATATGCCAGAAAACACAAGTCTCTCTACAGGAATTAAAACTACCACCAACACAGATCTTAAAACCACCCACAAGTGATCACAAGCTACTTCATAATGTGACATTCACACGCTCCCAGGCTCAGGCCCCCCAGGGACTCATGGCAGGTGGCCCCCCAGGTGCTGAGAGGACACCAGCCCATGACACGGGTCCCCAGCCGCATGCAAGACACGGCCTGGTGAAAACAGTAAGACGGGACTAAGGGCATTTCTGGTGGACTGCTCCCCTTCCCTTGGAGAAACACGGCCCTAAGGGCACAGCTGCAGGGCGACCTGGAGTGCTCCGACTTTAAAGCCAACGTGTCCCAAATGAAGACAAAACACAGAAGTCTTCCTGGTGATGTGAAGATTAGGGAAGCAGAAGAAAATCACAGCCGCTCACAAATACACTAGGCAGAAAGGAACAAAAAGCAAGCC